GAAGGACCTGAAAGCTATAAAGGGAATTTTATAATAAAGGCATTACTGAACTGGGAGCCAATAGATAGGGTAGAGAAATACACTCCAGTTTTAGAAAAATGAAGTTTCCTTGTTACACTTAAACGAGTTACCTTTGTTTATTTTGTAGTTCCCTTTTTGGATACCACTGGAATGTTAGTTTTATAAATGAACAAATGCCGGTGAGCAGCAGCAGCAAAGAGAAGCCTCAGTAATTTCCTGCAGGTCAGACTTGGATTTAAAATCTCCCTGTGCTTTGATCTGGGATCTTTGCTGTTTGCCATTCACTAGCAGGCCGTATTTGGCTGTGCAGACCAGCCAAGAGCCCTGGGCAGTGACAGATCTTTGCTGCTTATCACACACAATAAAACTTCATCTGTCCCAGCGCTGTGTGTCACTGCTTGTTGGTGTCACTACAGCCCTTGTGACAGCTGTTGCAGGTAATACACTGCTCGGGGCACAGGTGCAGACCTCTGGGCAGTCGATGGGGGATCAGAATTGTTCACTTGGCTACACGCTTCATGTCGGGCTTGTTGAGCAGGAGTTTGACATAATCAACATGCTAGAGGCTGACTATTGCTTGGCAACAACTTGTGCGGTTACTGCTACTTGTTTCACAGAGGATGTTCTTCGTCTGAGTGGTTTCCCAAATATTAGGAGCGGCAAAGACATCATTGCATTATTGCACGCGTATAATTTGCAGTTTTTAATTTTATAAAATTAAAATCTTTCCTTGCCCAAATTCTCCGCTGTTCCCCTTTCTAGGGAAACCTGATCTCGATCAATTTCACATGGTAGCAGTAAACCTTGTCCCTCTGCAGTCATAGGATGGAACTGGAGCCCTCCCATATTCCTGTTAACAGGCTCCCATTGAAAAGGGAGAACTATTCCAATGATTCAGAGGAGGAAAGTTTTTTTTTAAAAAAAACCTTCTTCTCTTAAAAGTCATGATCATTTGCTCCAGTGACTGACATGAGAAACACAGTCGTCATGCAGACAGACCTCACAGCCAGCTCTCGCATGGCATGACCCTGTGCAGAGCAAACAAGATGAGCAACTGCTTAATACCATCCATTAAATGATCAAGCTGTGGAAGAGGCCATTCAACCAATCATTCCTTTACTAGCGCATCAACCCTACTCTCCTGCCCTTCCTCCATAGCCCAATCTTATTTTTTTTTCCAATTCGCTTTTGAAAGATATTGATTCCTTTTTACAACTCCTTTTTGGGGCAGTGCGTTACAGATAACAATAACAACTCGACTGTTTAAAACAAAAGCCGCAGGCATTTTGCTATTTTCCTAAATCTTTGTCATTTTGTTTCTACCTTTCCGCATTGGAAGCCATTTTCACTAGTGTGGTCGATTTGTGTTTGAAAGTTGATACAAGTTAAAAGTTGGCCACAACTCTGGAATGAGTTCTGTTACCCTTCTTCAGGAGTGCAGTGGGTTTTTTTTTAATCTGAGGAGACGTCAGGTGCCAAGAGTAACAACACCTCTGAAAACACAACACTACATCAATAAGCTGAAGCGTCATCTAGACGTGAAACATTAGCTTGCTCTCGCTCCACGGATGCTGCCTGACCTACTGTGATCTCCAGCATTTTTTGTTTTCACTACATCAATACTGCCTGGTCTATGTGCTGCTGTCTATGAATGCAACTCAAACCTACAAGTTTCTCATTATGGGCAAGAGTGGTACAACTCTGATTAAGATGTCACTTTAAAGGGGATTAGATGAATCATTTGCTATGTGTTATGCTGAATCATGCACAACAGGCAGTTTGGATTTAGAAAGCGCAATGTGTTAAAGGCTCCTCATTCAACAGTATCCTTTAAGAGGGAATTAAATTAGCATTTGCAGGAGGAAATAAATTGGAGGAATAATGGAAAAGACAGGAGTGGGAGGAACTGGATTGTTCTTGAGGAGCAAGTGCTTACTGGTTAGTTCTCTCCTGTACCAGTCTCCCATCCTACTTTCTATTAATGTGTGGACATGGCTTGACTGTGATCTGTCAGGAAGTGGGATTTAATTGGATACCTTTCTCTTTCAAAGAGCTGGCAGAGATGTGATGGGTTGAATGGCTGCTTCCTCCACTATAAAATTCTGATTGGAACAGAATATGAAGTTCACGTCAATTAACGAAACAATTGGCTAGGATCTGACTCTCTCTGACAAATGGTGCACTTGTAAGAATGCAATTAGTGAAAATAAACCTTGCAACCTTGGACCATCCTGAAAACAGTTTGGTTACCTGGATCAGTTTGCAATGAGTGCTGTTTCCTGGCACTGGCCAGCTTTAAAGTGGATGGAGAAAGAGAGGGGGACATCCAGAAGAAAGACCTTGATGTGATGAATGGGATGGGGGAGCGGCAGTGGTTTAAACGCAATTTATGCAAAGCCATTGATTGACATCAATGCAGTGAAAAGTGCAGGTTGCTGTTGTTCGTTTAAAAACCCGAGCTGCTAAGCTTCTACATTGAAATGTAGAGAATGTAGCACAGCCAGCAGCTTTCTTGCCATCTGCTCGAAAGTAGAGGGTACCACAAAAAAGTACCTCCGCCTATTGCATTTCACTGGAGTATACTTGCAGCTTGGGGGTTGTGCGATGGTGAATATTCTCTGCTGTGATAAATAGATGGATCAACAAGAGGATTAGATATCACTAAGACAAATAATTAGCAAATTAAAGCGTCTGGTTGCTAGATTTTGTTTGAATGGCCAGTGTAAAATAGTTTTGGTTCTGCGGCGAAATATCAGATATCGGCTTTGAAGGAAAGATATTTTTCTGTTTTAATTTGCCCCTCTCATCGAGTTTTGAATGAAGTGAGTGTTCTGTTGTGTGCACAATCTGCAGCTTCTCCCATAGTTTGTTGGCTGACTGAGCCTATCCAAGTGACCCTGGAATAAAACAAAACTGCAGACGCTGGAAATCTGAAACAAAAACTGAAATTGCTGGAGAAACGCTCAAGGATCTGAAGAAAGGTCACTGGATCTCCAATGTTATCTCTGCTTTCTCTCCACAGATGCTGCCAGATCTGCTGAGTTTCTCCAGCAATTTCATTTGTTTTCATTTCAAAGTAACACTGGGCTCTGCTGAGCTCCTGTCCCTGTAGCCTGTAAGTTTGACGGTGAGGTAGTGATGATTGAGTGTGCTAACATGGGGGGAATCACCCAAGGAGTGACTGCCGCCAGCATCCATCTGGAGTTTTTTCCTGGGAAGGGTGTTTTAAAATGGCAAGTGACATTAGGATTTGGGTTAACTGTGATGCCATCTCATGTTGCATAGCGTGCTCGTGCTCACAGTCTAGGCTCATGTGAAATGAGTGGATCTACAGGAGACTACTCAATAGAGCATTTAAGCAGCAGGAGACAATGTCTCAAGGGCAAAAGGAATTAGAATTAGCTTTATTGTCGCAAGTACTCGCATGGAAACAAGTGAAAAGTTTACAAGTTGCCACTTATGGTGCCATCTTGGGTACCAAGGTTCTTGGGTATGGATCCCTCAGTACAAATTCTTAGGGGAAAAAATTAGAAAAATAAAGAAATAAAAAGTCTAATAAATTAGAAATATAGAGAATTAAGAGTTCAGATTAACAGTCCTTACAAACTAGACCGCGCCAGGCTTCACCTTGAGGTTGCGAGTGCCAGGAGACCAAGTTCACATCAAGAATTGAAAATCAATAATTTACAAAGCTATCATCTTGTACAGCACCTTGTACGGGACTGTCAGAATGCAAATGAGGGACCTAGAAAAGTGTTTGGCTACCGGATCCTGTATCAAAATGCAAGTTGCTGCCCTCTTAAAGTCTCCTCCTTTGGCATCCAGAATTTAACTTAAGAGGATCCCCAGCCAGTTTCCCTGACCGATAGGTACAAGGTTCTTGCTCCTGGTGGAATTTACTAAGAGATAGTGGTAATGATGGAGCACGCTGGGTTTAAACCAGTTTGTACCATGAACTCATGTAACAATCCGTCAGTGTCTTCAGATATACCCATTAGTTTCATCTCAAAGTTGTTGCAGTTTTACTTTGCTTTTTTTTTGGAACTCGAGATAAATCTGGAATCTCGCGAAACCTAAAAATGTAATTTTTCCGTGATCAATTTCTGTAGGGCTTTGATGCCCAGAAATTATCTTCCATAATTTTGGTTGCAAAATGACTCAGGATATTACAATGAGGTATTTTTGAAGTGCAGTCACTGTAATGATGTAGGAACCACAGCAGCCAATTTTTGCACAGCAAGATCCCACAAAGTGACAGTGACCAAATCATCTGTTTTTGCAATATTGGTTGAGGGCTACAGGCCAGGACACCAAGAAAAAACTCTCCTACTCCTTTTTATAGCCACTTGAGAAGGCAGACGTGCATCAGTAATATTCCCCTGTTCTGAGGATGGGTCACTGGACCCGAACTGTTAAACCTGGCTTCTCTCCACAGATGCAGCCAGAACTGCTAGGCTTTTCCAGCAATTTCTGGTTTTTTACCCCTAATTTTATAAACATACTCTAATCCATCTTTATATCATGTCATGTTGCATTTGGAAGCCAGTCTTATTCTCCTCTGAATTACCCTAGATATTTTTAATTGCCCTCTTCAGAGGTGTTATTGCACACCTCTGGAGCAGTTGGGACTTGAACCAGGATGTTCTGAACAAGAGGTAAGGATGCTACTATTGCACCACAAGAATCTTTCCGCATCATTTCTAATGCGAATATATCTTTCCATTGTGATTGGTCACACTTTCTCACCCAATTAGTTCTGAAGAAGGGTCACTGGACTCCAAACGTTAACTCTGTTTCTCTCTCTCGACTGAGGCTGCCAGAGCTGCTGAGTTTCTCCAGCAATTCCTGTTTCAGATCTCCAGCTTCCGCAGTTCTTTGTTTTATATCGTGACATTGAGAGAGTGGTTTTGATGAGGTCATCAAAGATTCTTCTTTACTCAAGTGGCCCTGACCAGTTTTGCTTTTTTCCCCTCTCTCAGGTGACCACCCGTACGAGTGCGAATTCTGTGGGAGCTGCTTCCGAGACGAGTGTACTCTGAAGAGTCACAAGCGCATTCACACTGGGGAAAAACCCTACGAGTGTAATGGATGTGGGAAGAAGTTCAGTCTGAAACACCAGCTGGAGACTCACTACAGAGTTCACACAGGTAATCCTCAGGCAGGACTAGCTGTCAGATCCAGCCACTGCTCACACTTACACAAGAGACTTTTTAATTCCTTTTCATGGGATGTCATTGTTGGCCATTTGTTGACACTTTATAGAATCCCTACAGTGTGGAAGGAGACCATTCAGCCCATCCAGTCTGCACTAATCCTCCGAAGAGTAACCCATCCCTGCAATCCTGTATTTCCCGTGGCTAACCCACCTAGCATGCTCTTCCCTGGACATTGTGGGCAATTTAGCATGGCCAATGCACATCTTTGTGACTGTGGGAGGAAACCACAGCACCTGGAGGGAATCCACGCAGGCACGGGGAGAGCGTGCACATTCCACACAGACGTTTGCCCGAGGCTGGAATCGAAGCCAGGTCCCTGGTGCTGAAAGGCAGCAGTGCTAACCCACTGAGTCACCATGCTCCCCTTGTTGCTCTCTAGAACATAGAACATAGAACATAGAGCAGCACAGTACAGGCCCTTCGGCCCACGATGTTGTGCCGACCTATTATCCTACTAGGATCAATCTACCCTGCATACCTTACGTTTTACTGTCCTAAAAATGTAGGGTATTCAGGGTAGATTGATCTTAGTAGGATAATCTCCTCTTAGCCTTGAACTGAGTAGCTTACTAGGTCATTTCGGAGGGCAGTTAAGATTTGACCACATTGCTGTGTGGGTTTGGAGTCACCTCACCTGTAAGCTAGGCCAGGTAGGGACAGAAGATTTCCTTCTATGAAGGTCAATGGTGAATCAGACTGATTTTTACAAGAATTGGGGTAATTAATTGAATTTCAATTCATTCAGCTACAGTGGGGGTATTTGATCCCATGTCCCACAGACACTGGCCTGGGCATCTGTGTTACTCGTCTAATCTTGTGACATTTCTACTAGATCTCCATCTCTACTTAACTATAGGATCCAGGTTAATGAGTTTATGATCACAACTCATCCCATTCAGTGCTGGTATGTAAGTTCTCAGTTAATGTTGTGGCTATGTTCCTAAAAATCTCAACTTTAAGTCAAGCGCTTGTTCCTATAGAAACAAATTGCAAATCTTTAGTTAGATTCTGTAGCCTGTTCCATACCACAGAGAAAAAATATATATTTAAATATTATCCACTTGGATGAGGATTTACTGCTAAAATTTCAGTAGTCTAAATTTCTCCTCATGCACTTGCAGGATCTAGAATTCCAGTGAACCTATTACTATGCAATTGTTCTAAATGGGATTCGAATGTTTTATTAAATCTCTTCCAATTCATTGCAGGATTGTGAAACCCCTTCCTATTCATGAATTTCTAATAAATCCCATCCCAGTCAGTGTACACAGGGTTTCAATAGATCCCCTTCTTATTATTTAAGATTCTGACATTCAAAAACCCAATGTCATCCACTATAGAGGTATCTTTAAGGTGATGTTCGTATGTTGATGTTAACATTTCTCCACACCTTTGCTGCACGGCACAGTGAACATTGTTGGTCTTTCACACACTAATGACTTCTTCCAGAGATTGTTACCAAGGCCAGTACAATGTGCTTTAACATTGCACTCCCTTGTAGCGTGAAAGATTAAATGTGCTGCAGCTCAAAATTATAAATTGGAGAGTCTGTCTCTATTTTTGTTAAATGCAAAGCTAATTTGAGTTAGGTCAAAGAAATGCTGATTGAAGTAGAACCTTTTGTGGTAATTTAGTATCGGCGCAGATTAACTGTGCGATGCTTGGAGGGTGAGCTGGAAAGCCTAATGTTGATGTTGCAGTGTGTTAATCTGTGAACTGCTGCAGGGCCAGTCTGCTTGAGCTGCTTTCCATTCTCTGCTGTGGCTCAGGCGATCTGAGCAAAGGAGCACTTTGTCATGAGGACTGAAAAATCTGAAGCCGTGAAAATGCCAAAGGCTAAAATCAAGTCTCCTACCCCATCTAGGAGCTTTAAAATCCATTAATACATGGCCCAGCAAGATTTTAATTAGATTCCCCTCCACCCCAAATGTTGCCAAATTAAATTGAATTTTTTTCCCTGTCTGTATTCATCAAAACGTTCCCATTCTAATATTCCTGGTGTGCTTTATTTTCTCAGCAGTTCTCCCACACCAGCAATGCATCCAATGTGAAATATCTCCCACTCAGATGCACTCATGCTCATGTTCACTGTCACACTTACCCTCACGTGTGCACTCTTACACTCATTCTCCCTCTCTCGCCTTTCCTCCTCCTCCTCCTGTACTGTTACAGAAAAATCTGGTATTTCTACTTACCTCTGGTAAATTTAATCTGCTCCTTACAAAGATAGCAGGAAAGAACTCAAGCAAGGAATTAGGAGGGCTAAAAGGGGCCTTGAAATGTCTTTGGCAAACCGGATTAAGGAAGATCCCAAGGTGTTTTATACATATATTAGGTGCAAGAGCGTAGCCAGGGAAAGGGTAGGTCCACTCCAGGAAGAAGGAGGGAATTTGTGTGAGGAGCCAAAAGAAATACGTGAGGTCCTTAACAAATACTTTGCATTGGAATTCACAAAGGAGAAGGAAGTTGTGAATGGGGAGCCCTGGGAGGGGTGTGTTAATATTCTAGGGCATGTCAATATGAAAAAAGGTGTTGAGTGTTTTGAAAAGCATTAAGGTAGACATGTCCCCAAGACCTGATGGGATCTACCCATCAGGAATGCTGAAGGAGGCAGGTGAGGAAATTACTGGTGCTTTGTTCAAAATCTTTGCATCCTCTTTAGTCATAGGTAAGGTCCCAGAGGACTGGAGAATGGTCAACATTGTTCCCTTGTTATAAGAAGGGTGATAGGGATTCTCTGGGAAATGACAGGCTAGTGGGTGAGGTTATGTCAATGGAGGGAAATTATTGGAGAAGATTCTTGAGGATAAGATTTATTCACATTTGAAAAAAAATCAGAAGAATTAGAATATCTTCTATTTTCACATGTACTCCAGTACAGGAGTACGGTGAAAAGTTTACAATGTTGCTTAATGTGGCATTATCTTAGGTACAAAGTATCCAGGTACGTAACTTAAATACAAAATAGAAAAATAAAGGAGAGACAGAAAGGTAAAAAGTTACATTACTTATTTTTTCTAACTTATACTATGAATAACAGAAATAAAGTTAAAAAGATAATCATTACAGCTATTCTATAAAGGGCCTGCAGTAGATTAGTGCAGGAGGCTTCCACACATGGTTTGATTGGGCTGGCAAGCCACTGATCTCCAGCACCGGTCCCCAGACCAACACCGGTCCCCACATTGCTCGTGCATCCACCCCGCTGGCCATCCCCGCGTCCCTCCATGCCCCCTCCTCCACTGGCCATCCCCGCGTCCCTCCATGCCTCCAGCCTGCTCTACGTCGGGCGGTGGGGGACGGTGGTGGAGAAAACAGCAAAAAGGGAAAAAGTAGAAAAAAGCAGTAAATAAACAGATGGAGCAGAGGATCTCTGGTTGGAGCATCCTACTCCACTGCTATCTTGATGGGAAATATGGACTTATTAGCGATAGGCAGCATGACTTTGTGCAGGGAAGGCTGTGTCTCACAACTTGATTGAGTTTTTTTAGGAAATGACAAAGATGAATGAGGGCAGGGCGGTAGATGTTGTCTGTATGGACTTTAGCAGGACCTTAGACAAAGTATCACATGACACGTTGATACAAAAGTTGAAGTCATGTGGGACTTGTGGTGAGCCAATAAAATAGATACAGAACTGGCTTAGTCATACAAGACAGAGTAAAGATGGAAGGGTGGTTTTCTGACTGGAGATCTGTGATCAGTGGTGTTCCGCAGGGATCAATACTGGGACCCCTCAGAACTGTTCCGACGAAGGGCCATTAGACCCGAAATACTAACTCTGATTTCTGTTCACAAATGCTGCCAGACCTGGTGACTTCTTCCAGCAGTTTGTTTTTGTTCAAGATAAAAATTGGCAAGTCCTGTTGCAGCTACATAGGACTTTCGTTAGACCCCATTTGGAATATTGTGTACAGCTCTAGTCACCACACTACCAGAAGGATGTGGAGGCTTTGGAAAGGGTACAGAAATGGCTTAGCAGGATGTTGGTTAGTTTTGGGGGGTATTAGCCATAAGGAGAGATTTGACAAACTTAGTTTGGTTTCACTTGAACAGTGAAGGATGATGGGCAAACTAGTAGAAGTTTACAAAATTGAGAGGCATGGTGAGAATGGATAGTCAAAGTCTTATTCTCAAGGTAGAAATTTGAATTACTAGGGGATATAGGTTTAAGATAAGGGGGGAAAGTTTAAAGGAGATGTGAGAGGCAGGTTTTCTTTATATACAGAAGGAGGTAAGTGCCTGGAATGTGCTGCCAGAGGTGGTACAATAGCGATGTTTAAGAGGCATCTTGACACATACACACACGAACAGGCAGGGGATAGAGGGATACAGGCATGTAGAGGCAAAATGTTGTTTAGAAAGGCATCATGTCAACGCAGTCTTGTCAGGATAAGGGGCCTGTTCCTCTGCTGTACTGTTCTTTGTTTGGTCTTAAATACTGTGCCATTTTGGAACCCAAATGAATTATCTTAGCTCACATTAGGTACAAGTGCACCCCTCTACATTCACTCCTTGTTTCTCACTCTTCTTAACACCAAATGGTGCTGTGGCATCTTTGAGTGAGGAGTTTACTAAGAAATGTATCACTCGTCTGTTTCAGTGATCTTGGACTTGGGATGATCCAAATTTTTAATTTATCTGCTCAATTTATCTAAGCTGTTCCTAGGTGGTAAAAGGATGAAGTTCAGAATTTAGTGTCATTGCGGAACCTTGGATTATATTGGGTTAGATTTTCTGTTTTCTGTGGATGTTGAGGTAATGCTGAATCATCAGGAGTGAGAGTCCCAAGCTTGCTTGATTTTGTTTTTGTAAAAGGAAGTGATTTAAGAAGATGGTGAGCTTGATGTGATTAAGTTGTGTGGTTTGTATGAATGTTTGTTTATTAAAGAGTTTGGATTTTGAACTAGTTCCATTTTGGTTTCAGTCTG